TGTGTTAGCGAAACAATATCATGTCGTGTGTTTGAGAACTTTGTGGAAATCTTATCGTTTGTGAAGTTTTTACAGAAGTGTCTTCGCTTCGTTAATCTTATTCCTCATAGCATAGAGTTTTGTGCTGTTACTATGATGCCGCGAATTGGTTCGGACCACAAAAATATGGTGTTTCAGCCCGCCATTTTTGCAAGTTTGTCTGATCTATCTATTTTATTCCCCTCTACTCCAGTGAGTGTGAATTATTATAGGTGAACATATTCCGATCGAACTCCAACAATAATAATTGCACAACACTTATATTCTCGCTATAAAACATGTATAGTATACGAAAACAATCTGAATGATTCATAAACATTCGTGCTATTGCCGATAACAATTTTTAGTAACAATAATAATTATCGAACGAGTTCACTGAATATTGTTTTTCGTCGACCTCTACAAAAAATCACATTTTACGTTCTAATTTGCGAACGAAAAACCGGCTATTTCCGAAGGCAATCACTTTTCGTCCGCAGACACCAACTTTTCGTCCGCGAACACTTTTCGTTCGCTGCAGGGTTGCCAGTATTACTGAATTTTCATAATTTGCATATTGATTTACTGATCTACTGACACATTTCATATACTATTGAAGAATATTTTGACCTATACCTATACCTATATTATTATTGATCTTCAGTTAATCACATACACTTATAAATTGCATTATATTTCGGCATACGCTCTGTTCAAATTAATTTCACAAAATAAGTAATACATTCACATTTAGGTACTAATGATATGTTTAAACCAAAATAGGACAATACTCTTTATCTCAGTTCTCAGTTCATATTCAATTTTTCACATACCTCTGTTACAACAGTTTGTTTCTTACGTTAAATTTTTTTATTAGTTTTGTATTTTTGTTGTCAATTTTTACTATTCGTTCCTGTCTTTTAATACTCAAATCTTATATCATATCTTATAAGTACCTATGTATTTTGTGATATTTGTGAGTATATTTTCATACTGAGAATTATAGGAATATGATCATTTTTTCATGAGAATGTGTGTTTTGTTAAGTGCCTTTTCTGTTTACTGAAAGTACATCAAGTTTTGACGTCATAGGTTCATGTCATTATCGTTTCTTCGTATAGCATAAAATAGATAATAGATAGAATAGTTGACACCAACTGTTATTTGTTGTTGTCAAATTATTCACGAAATCCGATAGATTTCACCAGTGAATAGGACCGTGATGTGAATAAGTGTTTGATGTCAAAAAACTGTCTATTGTCTCGCCCGATTGCAATTTGCAGAGTCCATTATCATAGACAGTTTTTAGTCCTTGGTACATAAATAACTAAAGCCGATCTCACTGTGCCCAACATAAGCTTGTCAGGTAACCATACCTTTAAGACATCCATTTCGATGCTTGGTATTACTATCAGCAATAACCTTTCTTGGGAAAATCACGTGAGATCAATTGCTAAAAGTTCGTCCCAAAAACTTGGTTTTTCTGTTTCGGGCCAGGAGCTATTTCACTTCCAGTCAGCTGCTTATGATCTATAAGGCACAGATCCGACCTGTCCTGGAATACTGATCCCATATTTAGAGTGCAGCACGCAAACATACCCTGAAATTGTTGGATTCTGTCCAAAAAAGGGCAATTCGTCTTGTGGGTGATGTCTCGCTCACAAACTCACTCACTTCACTGGAAATCCGTAGAAAAGTTGGCGATCTGGCTCTATTTTATAGATATTTTCATGGACGATGCTCTTCTGAAATATCAACAATTGTTCTTCCCTTGGCAGTCAGCGCGAGATTAACCCGTCGAGTTGAGGCTTCGCACCCCTTCGTGGTCACTTTGGAGACCTGCAGAACATCTCTTTCCAAAGACTCGTTTATCCAACGAACAGTGAGGCTCTGGAACACATTGCCAAGGGAGGTGTTCCCCGAGACATATAACCTCCACAAATTTAGGAAGAACACCAATTCATACCTTATTTTCCTTGGTTCTCACGATGTTTTCTGAACATTACAGGATATCCCTTTTCGTGGGAACCAGAACATAAAAATAAATTGACTTTGAACAATCACTTTTCCATGTACTTTTCTACTGGAATGGTCAGTTTTAGTGCTTATTGTAACCTCACTGCATGAAAGGATAAACGTGGCATTTTATAATTACTGTTCTATTACAAGAATTAATCATAATATCGTTATCTGTTCAAATCCACTCATGTTTTGGACTTATATCAATATCACTCGATATGATAGATAGGTATTTATTCAATGTGTTACGTTCCAATACTCATCACCAGTGGATTTATCAATCAGTATCAGAGATAACTCGGTCATAAACGGTTATGAAACGCTAAGTAACCACGCATCATTTTTGCCATTCAATATTAGAAATTCAAAGGCTGCATGTGATTCTCATTTTCGGCTGACGTGAGATTTTCAGGAAGGTAGGCATTTGATACCACGTGACCTGACTAGATTTGACCAATCAAGGTAATAATTGCACTTTTTTTCACTATTGATGTATCATTTCGAAACTCATCAGTGACCTTGTTGAATAATCAATTTCGCGAATATACAGTTTCATTCATAAATTCATAAGCAAGACACACTAAGTCTTCTCCACAAATTTATCATCTCAAATTCAGATGATAAATTTATGGAGATGACTTAGTGTGTCTTACTTATGAATCTATTCACTAGTTTATTCATAAAGTTGGCATCATATGGAAAACACTTTTATAATCATAATTTATTTTAAAATTCGACTTGGGCGTTATGCTTTACTTCAAAAGAGATGAAAATTGGCCTACTTGGAATGAGTCACGTGACTTTCGCTAGGTACCTACATGCCAAAAGTTGAATTTTTTTATATTAATCGATGAAAATCGACTTATTTGTTCGAATTTCGAAAAATTTTACTAAGGAAAGTTGTTTTTTTTCAATTTTACACTCTGTCGCGAACTTGGACGTTCTATTTCAACTTTTAGTTCTCGATATTTTTTAAATTTTTCTAATTGTAACTTCGATAAAACTGTTCTAAACTTTGGTTATGTAACTCGTATAATTACGTAAAGTAGTTCGATCATAAATAATAAATACACAATAAATACTACTTCATAGAAGTATGTCCATTGGCATTGGCAAGATATATTTTATAAACTATGTATAAACTATACAACAATCAGATCAAAATGACGCCCAAAACTGTTCCTACAGGTTATCATTCAGAATCTCTGATTCATAAACTCTTCAATTGTGTTCAATTTGAATTTGTAGTCTCCTGATTTCTCTTTCAAATAATTTGGTTGCTTTTATCAATTTCACTCCTCTGGGTAGTTTATTGGACAGTTTTATTGCCATGTACCATAGACTTTTTTCGATCATTGTCAATCTATGACTTGGAATATTGATATTACATGTTATATCCTTTTGTTTCCTTTTCTTTCCTGAATTCACTTTTTTCGTTATGTATTAACATCAACGTTTCATATATAGGTATACAATGCATATAATGATATATAATATTCTGATAGATGGCTTTGGCATCATTTTTCTATTGAAAAATTCAATTTGAATAAATTTCGCTCCTGAAGGATAGAGGGTATACATCAACTTTGCATCAAACATAACAAATATCTGAAGCAGGGATCATTATTTTCTGAAGAAAATCTAATTTTTGTCGATAATTAGTGATTGCAATTTAGTTGCATGATAAAGCTTCTAGAATTAAAGAGTTCTGTCGGTGTAATTTTTTTTAATTCCACAGATGTTTCGTGGAAATCGAAAAAATATCAAAAAATAATAGTTGTAATAGAACATTCAAATTCGAGACACATATATTATGAAAAATTGGGATAGAAACAACTTTTTTCAGTGAACTTTTTGAAAATTCAAACAAACAAGCCTTTTCTCAGCGATTAATTTGAAAACTTTCAACTTTTGACATGTAGCTAAACGAACGAGATGTTCATTCTTCATATTTTTCAAAACATATCGATAACTTCGATATATCGACCGAAACCACGATTATTGGGCGGCTGGATTCTGTTTGACTCTTTTGACACAGATTATTTGTTAATCTGTGCTTTTACTGAAGTATGGTGGTTCTAGTTCCCCCTAACTCTGTAGCATTTGTGCCAAACGGCGTTTTCCTAACTGTTTTATTTAGCGAGATATTCGCAATGAAAGTTTTCAAATTTAGACCCTCGAATCAATGTTTTTCGTACACCCTGTAGCGGGTGGAAAAAAGTCTTGTACAGGTGAATACTACTGACTGAGACCGTTCATTTGAGGTATCACAAAAGAGGTAGTGCCATTTGACATTTCAAAGTTGGGGTGTGTTGCGCTGACAGGGTGACTCATCCCTTCACTGAAATATGTTGGTTCTAGTTCCCCTTAACTCTTTAGCATTTCTGCCAAGCGGCGTTTTTCTAACTTTTTTATTTCGCGAGATATTCGCATTGAAAGTTTTCAAATTTACACCCTGTATTTATCGATATATCGATATTTTTCCGCAGGCCGAATTTTAATGAATGGTGTATAAGCACGTCACTGAACTGAATATTCCAAAATAGGTACATAATCTATCTATAATAATATATTATATTGAACTACATATTGTTTGTTATAGATATTGTTTATTATGTATTATGATGGCGACCTGCTTTTTTTCAAAATAATGATCGTTTGTCATAAAACTCATAACAGTGTTACACTGGCTGTTTGTATGAAGCGTAGGACTCGTAAGAGTTCTGTGATAAATCATACTCAAAATTAAGTGACATTTAAAAAAACACAATGCAATATCTATCTATTTATATCTTATCTACATTGAAATAAACTGTTGCAAAAAAATGTCATAACATACTGATGCTACTTATGGAATACATGCATAGCGTAGGTTTTCTGTGATAAATGAATGTTATTTTTTTAAATCATTTCAACCGTCTTCCCTCAGTGATGTATTATCATCATATTGTCTTTTTTTTCAGATGGCTAGTGAATCTCCCACGGACAATAATGCAAATGGAAACGAACCGACGATTCAGACGATTGTAAAAAATCCTTCAAGGACGTCCGTTACCACAACTTCGGTAAGCATTAACTATTCTCAATCAATTTTGTTTTGTTTATTCATAAACATTCCGATCTGCCAGTATAAAACAACGGGAAATTATGTCAGTTTCAAAATGAAAAATGACGCCTGAACGCCATTTTGGACCTTCAGAAAAAATATTAATCCTAAACAAAATGGCGGATGATAAGGATTGAAATCTCCTTGGAAATCTCATACCAGTAGATGGCTAAAAACCTGATCTCCTGTAATCTTCATCTCTCGAGTATATTGGCACATAGAAAATTAGGGCGCAATCTTGGAAATAATAATTGGCATGAATAAGAGTGATGTACTCCTTTCTTGTTCTGAGAAATCTTTGGGAACCTTTCAGATGGTTTCCTAAGTAATATTCCGTATCACAGACTTGATTCTGCATAAGCATAATAAAGTTATTAACCGTTGTTTTGTGAGAATATTCCTTATATATTTTTGGATTCTTGAAAATATCATGTCCACAAAGAACTTTCGTTTCAAGGTGTTCTACATTTTCAATCCCATCTACACTAGGCGAACGCTCACCACAGACAATGACATTTGCTGGTTCAAATACTTTTGTTCTGCCTATTTTATGAAATCTATATAATATCGTTTTGTCTAGATTCAGACTACGATAATGATAACTGAAATGATTATAGTGACACTCTGCATTACAATGGCACGCACATCTGTTTTCAATTTCAGATGTTGTGGTTACAGATTTTGTTAATGAGACATCGTAAATGAAATTACTACTCAGTAAACATAAACATATCTATGATACCGTATTCGTGCCTGGCAAGATAGGGCAGGGGATTCTCGAAGAAAATTCACAATATTCGTTTCATTCTGCTGAATTTGAGACTCAAAGGTCAATTTTTGAAGCCGCCTAATAACCAAGAGGTTCGCACTTCAACCTCACATTCATGTCTGACAGTGTAACAAAGCGAATCGATAAATTTTGATGTTGAATGAGATGTTGCTTGATGATTACTCAGAGTAGATTGTCCCGAACATCTAATTTTATGAGAGTGTGGACACGATTGTCACCACTGGCTCGAATTGTCATCATCCTCAGATTGATGAAATGAACCTCTGGTCATCGTCCAGACGATGCTCTGTTGTACGCACTTCAATCTTTTCCTGTTTTACAATTCCTTGATTTTCGCCTACTTCGATTAACATAACATGGTGTGTGTGAATCTCGCTAAGTTTAGTCTGGTGCCGTACCAAAATTACAGGCATCAATGTGACAATTATTGTGACTGAATTTCGACCAATGAAGAAAGCGAATACATTTCGCGATTTAGCCGCATCAAAAATCACGCCATCTAACATTCAATATGTGAACCCCGCGTCATCGTCTAGAATTCAATTGTTTATATCAAAAGCTAGTCTGACGAAACAAATGAAGACTGATCGCACCAGAGGTTTATTTCATCAATATCCTCAGATTTGAAACGTCAAGAATTGCAAAAATTCTAATAATGATGGTTAACATTTATTTGAGTGGTGCAAAGACGAGACGACATTTCAAATGTTGAAGCTTCAGATTCCAATATTCATTTCATGGAAATACATTAATTCACATAGTATCTTTATGAATACACAATGCTCATAATGTGCCTTCGGTGTTACGCCAATGTTAGGGTTTCAAATGATAATATGTCTGCACTCGTTCAATGAAGGGTATACAGAAAAGTAACATATTTTCAACATAAGAGAAACAAACAAAACAAACAATCTAATAAAAAAATTATCATATTCCTAATTCTGAATTGAAAAATACATACTATAATAAAAGATTTGTTTTTTTTCAATCTCATCAAGAGCAGAGTTCATACAAGTATACTTCTCCTATACATTTCAATTTTCATTTCAATACTGAACATATTGGTGAGTTATATTTTTATATCATAATACATCATATTATTGAGATATAAAGTCAATTCCTAATTTCAGAGGATTTTGATTTTTCATGCTCTCTTTTTGGATATTCAACAGATATAATTCAATGTTCACGTGGCAAATAGCCAGGAAAGTAGTTGTTTTTTGTTGAATATTCAGAATGATATTATATGCATATCTATAATATGAAGGAGAATGCAAATCCTCTATACTTCAGAAGATTTTGTTTTCAAATTCTTATCGTGTGTGTTCAATAGATGTAATTCAATATTCGTCGTGGCAAATTGATATTTTCATCACATGGAGAATGCGAATTCTCAATGTATATACAGGGTGGCATTGAAATAAGTGCAAATATTTCAAACACTCGACGTGTTCTATCGAATGGCACCAATGAAAATAATTTAGGGATCGAAATAAAATTTGAGGTTAGACCCCTTTTTCCACGCAAAGTTCTACACTGTAGCAAATCTGACGTCACCTCTGTTCAAATTTCCATGCGGTAGGCACAATCACGCGGAGTTCAATCATTTAGATTGTTTTAAAGTGGCGTACTTGAATTGTTTCTAGTATTTTGTTCAATTTTCAGAATGACATTTCTTGTTAATTAGAAGAAATAGAAAAAATCTGATATGATGGGAATACTCCTTAGACTGTATCATATGATATGATGAATATGTGAACTTATTTCAAAAACACCTTGTATATATATATATCCATTTTTTTGTGTTCATGAATATATCTGAGTATATTCCTTTTCAGTACTTGAAAGATTTGGTGTATAAAAAACATTTAAATGACCAAATGGATCTGATGAAATATCAGTAATAAGGTTCATTCGGGTTGCGATTTCAGAGCTGTTCAATGTGTTTAAGAATCGTTCTCGAACTGCGTAATCGTTTCGAATCCTAGGACTGATTCAGAATAACGGTTCACAAATTATGAAAACCCGAACGCGGCAGAAGAGCACCTCCAAGAACATAACCTCTATTCACAATTTGCGAAAGAAACAACAGTTTGTAACCTGTATCTTCATTCGAATAATATTCTGAAGCTTCAAACTCTCCTTTCAGTCTATTCACAATATCTCTGGAAGCCCTCTGTGGAGGAATGGTGAATATATTCCATCATAGCATTCGTAGCTAGATTTTCAATATGTTTTGTCCCTTGTACCTACATGAATTTCGACACCCACCTGAAATGTTCAATGAATTGTGTATCTGAATATAATGGCAAAGTATCCCTAACATAATCCTCCATTTTTCGGATTATCTAACAAAAGTTCGAGAATTATCAGATTAGGCACAATATTTTCAGCAACTTCAGCAAGGCACTACTTCACCACTGCTTCCTGAAGATTTAGAACAACTACTATCAAATGAATTTACTGACTCCATAATATTAAGAAAATAGTGAAAAGAGCAATAAACAGTTGAATAAACCAAAATATATCATTATGACATTACGCTACAACACAGACAGAATCGAACACTGAATGAAATGAGCATGCGCCAAAAATAATCCTAGGACGGTTCATGCTCGAGAGCAAGTACTGGTTTCGGATAGTTCGAGGACCGTCCCAAGACGATTCTGGAAAAAACGCGTAAAGAGTCAGTCCTAGATCATGGTCCTAGTAGAACAGTTCCACAAAACCCGAACGCGACCAATTCTACTGTGTAAACTCCTGATAGTTTCAGAACCGTAATAGTTCAAACGCGAATATGAACCTATTGTAATTTTAGTGGGACTCTCAATTCGAGACAATAAGGCTGTGATATCCTCTGATCTGTCTGTGTTAACTGGGAAGGTAGCTGTCCCGTTGATAACTTCAGACCCCGAATATTTCTGACCCTCATCAATCCTGTTTGATACGGCCCTAATAATTTGTACATTAAGCAATAGGCGAGTGGACTAATGATGAATTATTGGCATTCAATTACTCCACTGTGTCGTTGGAAACCTAAATTAATTTTTGCAACACCTCTCACACTTTTTATATGTGAATGATACGTCTATGCGTTGTTCAAAATCGTTGAATTTCAGAGCTCATTTCGAATGTATCGTCATAGCCGCCATTTGGCGATACGTCAAATAAATGGTGACGTCAGATTTTATGCTGTTTCGTCATTGGTCAGATAATCTTTTATTTCCACTCATGAAGCAAGGTTGTCGATTCACCAATTATAATCAAGTTATCAAAAAGCATGCAAAAAGCAGCATGTCCAATTTTTTTTTCATAAGAAAATATTCATGTGAATGTTGGAGACTTGGCAACATTGTGCTGAATGTCGAGAACTGACAAGACCACGGCCACAAGTCGTGGTCAGGGTTGTCACGTTCACCGATTCAAATGTCCTCTAGTGTGAATTAATATAGTTATGATTTACACAAAATTATTATAAGCAATTAGCCACAAATCATGAGGAAATATTTTGTGACAATTGAGTTTTCATTGCTAATTAGGAATATTACCAATACTCAATTGAGAATTTATGGATTATTGAATAACTAATATTTCTGAAGTTCCCAATTGTATTTCAACACATGGCAACTGTGCTATGGTCTGCCCCTACTTACGAAATCGTGGCGTCAGTTTTTACGGGTGGTAAAATTTCTAGCCGTTTGAAAATTACCGTGGCATTATTGATGATTTTAGCTTAGCACCTAAAAATCGACTGAAAAATTCTTAAAAAATATGAAATTGAAAGGTATTTGAGTGATGAGTCTATTTAATATCTTATACAATATTTTATCGTAAAGCGTTTCGGAAATATGGACTGAGGACCTATGCTATAGAACCTGATCGTGAAATATTGCATGCTAATGTCGGGACCCACTGTATAGTGAATCTATAGAGCCTTACCCACATTGAAAATGTTGTAAAATCAATGACATCTGGAAATTAATCTTGTTTTCTCTGTTTCACTCAATTAATTCATCGGCAAGGTCGTAATTTACAAATCTGTTTATATTTTCCGTATAAATATTCGAGTGATTCACGTGCGATTAATCTCAATTATTTTTTGATAACCAAAGACACTGGAAACTTGTCTGAGAAGTCTATTGCTCGACAATGATAAGTGGTTGTTTCGC